TTTTTGAAACAGTGAAATTAATCTTTTCATAACTATATTAACTTGTACATACAAGAACCGTCAACATGAAACTGCCTTTCATGAATGTAATAATTAATAAAGTTGATTAAAATACTGATTTCACTATTTATAGAAAGTAACCCCATATTAACATACATACATACATACACACACACACACCAGTGCTATTTTTGGTATATCTGAATGACATGACGGAAGGGATAGACTCAGAAGTGTCCCTGTTCGCAGATAATGTGAAATTGATGAGGAGAATTATAACAAATGAGGATCAGGCAGGACTACAAAGAGACCTGGACAGGCTGGACGAGTGGTCCAGCAACTGGCTCCTCGAATTTAACCCCGCCAAATGCAAAGTCATGATGATCGGGGAAGGGCAAAGAAGACTGGAGACAGAGTATAGGATAGGTGGCCAAAGACTGCAAACCTCACTCAAGGAGAAAGATCTTGGGGTTAGTATAATACCGAGCATTGTACATCAGCCCATTCTGGAGTATGCAACACCAGTTTTGAACCCACACATGGTCAAGCACGTCAGGAAATTCTAGAAAGTGCAAAGGTTTCAAACAAGACTAGTTCCAGAGTTAAGGGAAATGTTCTACAAAGAAAGGTTAAGGGAAATCGGCCTGACGACACTGGAGGAAAGGAGAGCCAGGGGAGACATGATAACGACATACAAAATACTGCGAGGAATAGATAAGGTGGACAGAGACAGGATGTTCCAAAGATGGGATACAGAAACAAGGGGTCACAATTGGAAGTTGAAGACTTAGATGAGTCGAAGGGATGTTAGGAAGTATTTCTTCAGTCATAGAGTTGTGAGGAAGTGGAACAGTCTGGCAAGTGATGTAGTGGAGGCAGGAGTCATGGAGTAGGGAGAGAGAGGACCTAGTAGCGATCAGTGAAGAGGCGGGGCCAAGAGCTGAGTCCCCACCCCTGCAACCACAAATAGGCGAGTATACACGCTCACAAAAAAAAAATTATGCTTTTTTTAGGAACCGTTCTAAACAAGTTTTGAAAACGCACAGAGTCCTGTCTATTTCTTAAAGACTTGCAAATCTGCTGCCCAGGTTTGCAATGCAAAAAATATCCACCCATCAACAGCTCAGAAATCTTTTATTCTCTGACTATCGCATCAAGGAAATCGTAAGCAAAGCTTTTCATAACTATTATAGACTAACTTATCCGACTTGCAAAGAAAGCTGAATTTAAAGGCAGAGAAGAGCCCGAGCCTTTAGCTCATAAGACTGTCATTCCCATTTGCCTCCTTGGGGCGGGGATGGCAGACCAGAGAGGCGTAGCTTGTGGCTAGGCCATGGGACAGTTGGTCCCAAAGATGAGGAGGTACTTGTGCCTCCTCCCATGGGAGACTTAGGTCTCAGACACTCCCTAAAGAGGGAGCCAAGGCCGGGCCACCACTTGGAAAAGGCCCGGGCCGGGAGAATACCGGCAAATCTTTAGGAAGAAGAAGAAGAAGCAGAATTTAATTACCTTCTTTACAGTGATATGCAGGAGAAAAATAAACTCTTAACTAATATAATTCTCTCTTATCTAAATATAATGACAACTGTATCTCAAAAAAATAGAAAAACTGATGATAAATGAGGTATATATTTCAAATTCTCTGCCGAGACTGCTACCTTATTTACATCCAACTAGAAATGTGGAACATAAAAGGTTTATAAAACACCTTCAGGAGAGATCTGTTTTGTTCCAACATCATAAATAATTTTACAGGATAAATTGGGATTTTGCCAAAATATTGAACACAATAAAATACACGTATAAGAGATAATAATAAAAGTTGCTATAAGTGAAATAAAACCTAATTACAACACCTAGAAAGGAAAATGGATTCCTGGTGCGATTTCAAAATTTGCCATGCTCCCGACCTAAGTTCCCAGAACCTGGCGACCCACCATTAAATACCAGCTCGTAATTACATTTCGCACAACCTAGTGTCCAGTCACTACCCCTCAAGTGGCCCTTATCCTTCACTTTCAGGTACTGCTAAAGGAACTCTCAGACGAGGTTCAAAATATCAAATTTCTTGTTACAATGTGTTCCTGTCAGCATGTGGGTATTCTCAGGTCACATCTATTTATAATATTCATGGGAAGAGAGAGACAGGGGAAAGGATAAGCTAAATCATGTTTATTCAGAGAAAGTGGAAAACAAAATCATTTCCTTGGATCAAGAACCGTTCACCAGTACCAAGGCAACCCCTTGAAGGAAGAACATGAGAAGATACATAGCTATGTACACGTCATTATGCAAAACTGCTGTATTAACGAGACCAGTGATGTCTCTGGGCGTGATCTACCATCAAAAAATATAAATAACTTAATAACCTATGTGCATTTTACCCACATTTTACAGGAGCTCTGGTGGAAACAATGACTCCACACAGACAGTTCCCAGCACCAGCTTCCAGCATTAGCATCAGCTTCCAGATTCATCTTCCAGCATGAGCATCAACTTCCAGCATCAGCTTCTCAGCATCAGCTTCTCGAGATCAGCTTCTCAGGATCAACTTCTCAGCATCAGCTGCCAGCATCAGCTTCTCAGCATCAGCTTCCCAGCATCGGTATAATCTCCCAGCATCAACTTCCCAGCATCTGCTTCCAGAGTCAGCTCCTGGCACCAGCATCATTAGCTTCCAATATCAGCATCAGCTTCCCAGCATTGGTATAATCTCCCAGCATCAACTTCCCAGCATCTGCTTCCAGTCAGCTCCTGGCACCAACACCAGCATCATTAGCTTCCAGCATCAGCACCAGCTTGAAGCACAAGCTCCTAGCACCAGCATCAGATTCCCACCAGCAGCAGCAGCAGCTTCGAGCACCAGCATCAGCTTCCAGTATCAGCCACAGCTTCCAACAACAGAAACAGCTTCCAGCACTAGCAACAACTTCCAGCAACAGAAAACACAACATCAGCCAGCTTCCAGCAACCGCATCAGATTTCCACCCCAACATCAACTGCAGGCACCATCGTCATCTTCCAGCGCCATCAGCCAGCACCACATTAGCTTTCAGAACAAGCTTCCCTCGCCAGCATCAACTTCCAGAACTAAGATAATCTTCCGGAATAAAATTCTAGCATCAGTGTTTACCACCAGCATCAAAGACAAGAATTTACTAGTTAAACCTCTGATGCAGGACTCGTAGAGTATTATAAATATTGATTATCAATTTATCCGGGATGAATCTTCCAAGTAGCTTATTTAGCGTTAATGTGTTTGGACACATTAACGCTAAATAAGCGTTAATGTGTCCAAACAGGGGGGTTCATGTCAGCTATAGCTGACATGAACCCCCTGTCTCTGACTAATACAAAACAAATAAGCAATTCTCAGCACAAGAATCAGCTTCAAGTAGCAGTATCTTCCTGCAACAGAACTGGCACCATCTTTCAGCACGAGCGCTATCTTCCTTCACCAGCACCAACTTCCAGTACCAACACTGGATTCTAGCACCGACATCAACTTCCAGCACCTGAACGACAACCAACTTCAAGCACCAGCGATAACTTCCAGCACCTGCGCTAGCTTCCAGTACCAGTACCAACTTCCAGCACTAGCTTCCAGCACCAGTACCAACTTCCAGCACCAGCGCTCGCTTCCAGCACCAGCACCAACTTCCAGTACCAGCGCTAACTTCTAGCACCAGTACCAACTTCCAGCACTAGCTTTCAGCACCAGCACCAGTTTCCAGTACCTGCGTCAACTTCCAGAACAAGCACCAACCTCCAGCACTAGCTTCCAGCACCGGTACCAACTTCCAGCACTAGCTTCCAGCACCAGTACCAAGTTCCAGAACCAGCTCCAGCATCCAGAAGCAGTGCCAACTTCCAGTACCAGAATCTGTTTCTATGGCGCAGGTAACACCATCAGCTTCCAGTATCAGCTGCCAAGACTAACATCAGCCTCCAGTGCCAGAAGCAGCTTTCGGCACCACCACTGCCTTCCAGTTCCAAAATCATCTGCCAACACCAGCATCATCTTCCAGCCTCTGTGGCAGACCCAGTAGTGAAGTTATTTACTGAGAGGTCTTTGATATAGAACTAACAATCGCTCCCAATTCAGCGTAATTACGAACTTACGAACAAACTAATTCTTAAATTAGTGTTGTTAAACACTTGGTCCTAAGCTTATATGTTAGGCATTTACTCATAAATTAACAAAGCGACACACACACGTTATTTATATAATATATATATATATTATATATATATATATATATATATATAATATATATATATATATATATATATATATATATATATATGTCCAGTAATAACCTACATGGAGATAAACTCAGAAGATTCATTGATCTGTATATTTCGATCCTCTTCTGGAATTCTCTACTGAAGAGGATCCCAGAAGGGAATCGAAATATACAGACCAATTAATCTTCTGAGTTTCTGTCTCCATGTGGGTTATTATTGAGCATTGATAAGTGTTCATTACACTTTAGTTTTCCGTATTTTATATATATATATATATATATATATATATATATATATATATATATATATATATATATATATATATATTATATATATATATATAATAAGTGTGTGTGTGTAACAGATACACATGGACAGCGATGGATATGGATGGATAGGGATAGATAGACAAATAGATGAAAATAAACGAGTACACCGGTAAGTAGCACAAGCGAACACGTGAAGACATTCAGACAGAAAATACTGAAGTTCTGTATATCGAACTTGAAGCTAAAGCTCGAGTGCCCACACTGGTGGGTCGAGTAAGCGTCTACCTGACGTCCACCCATCATCCTCTTACGATGCGATCCTTAATGTTTATCGGATGGACCTCCGCTCTAAGCCAAGGGGAGTTAAGGCCTCGGTCAAACGAGCAAAAGACGCACTGAATGGGGTCATCACACGACTAAACCTTGCGTCATAAGAAATTTTCATCTCCTGACCGACAAAATATCATCACCACCTGTACTTACCTTCATAGGAGTGTGTGATGAAATTTATTCAAAGTGCTCGTATGTAAATACTAGTGAAGATATTCTTATTTCTCTCTTTAACGTCCAACTGCTCGTTTCTGCTAATACAGCTGACATTTCTCTATACATCTATATTTGTTCTATACCTCACACGGTTTTTATTTATTTATAGCACTATTTAGTACTGTCACTATACATCAATTAAAATAATGGTCAAATCACATCATATAGGGTGACAACTACCTCACTGCTGTTTTAAAATCAAATCACTTTACGTTAAGTTCGACAATTCTCGTAAGCTCTCGTACATGGACACATGCGGAAGAGTTTTCAAGTCATATGACGATAAACTAGTTCACACATAATGAAACTCAAAGAGTTAGGTGAAGGCTCAACAAGAGCAGGCAAGTGTCCATACGCGACGAGCGACACAGCCAAACTCCACCAGGGCCGAGGAACTACTGACGGAGCAGACACGCCCAACGCAAGGCCTCACAGCACAGCGGGTGTTGCCAAACGTCACCTCCTGCCCAGGAGACGTCAGCGTTTTAACCTTGTTCAGAGTATCGATGCAAACACGTTTCCAGGAACTTTTTTCCATATTGGTTCACTGTTTTTTAATGCGGTTGCTCCGTTAGTGAGTGATGGTACTTGCGCACGCCAGTACAAGCACGCACTAATGCACACAAGCAGATACAAGCGCACTCCCAAATACATACACTCAATTCATGCAAACACACACATACACACACGCAATCCAAGCAAACACACATACACACACATCAACATCCGCGTGAGACAGTATGTATATAAATTCTCTAAAACATACATTATCAAAGCACGTGTAATAAAGACTGAATGTAACATTTATCAAAACTGAACTCGATCAGTCACTGACACTCGAGCCGAACAATAAACTTGTGGTAAGGAGGAACTTAAAACTTTTCATACAGGGCAGAGATAGGCAATAAAGCATGTTTGTAACTCTTTATCAGGGGAGTTTCCTAGAAGGAACTCGCTTGGAACTTCAAGGAACTTCCACCCACACAGAAATACATCTCTCACACCCACACAGACACACACAACACTCTTACTCTCGCACTTCTCAAGGTATCCCTTAAAGGAGCGGGTCCGGACACAAGACATTCCTCCTTCACGTGCCTCTTCTTCCATAGCATCATTTAGAAAACTCAGATGAGACTACAGTAGGAATAATTTAGTCTAGAGTAGGAATAATGTAGTCTACAGTAGGAATAATTAAGTCTCCATGGGGAATAATTCGGACCACTATGGGAATAACAGGGACTGGCTAACTTTTATTAAATTTTCATGTTTTTCCACTGTCGATTGTTTTATTATATTTAGTTGTTTTTAAAAGCTAAACCAGATTGGTTTTTAATAAGTTTCAGCGTTATCGACTACATGTGTGTCATTAACTAAGGCTGCATCCCACGTATAATCTACCAGATAAGAATACTTTTATTCATAATTAAGGGATCAATGTAAACTCAACGGTTATATATATTTGATGAGACTTTCACCTCTCAAACTATATAGTATATACTCACGAAATCACAATACACTTCTGCTCATCAGTTAAATGAGCTGTCAAAGCTCGCTCTCAGTGCATAAGCATCAGTTAAGAGTAGCAATGAAAAATGGTTTGGGCGAATATTTTTGTTAGTGGGTTTTGGTTTGAAAAAAGATCTGCCTAATATGATCCAGTAGGCCTGCTGCAGTGTTCTTTTTTCTTATGTTCTCATGTTGTTAGTCAGGAAACAGGTCAGTCAGATAATTAGGTAAAGGTCGAGTAGCTAAGAGTACAGGCCCCTGTTAATCCTCCTGTTTACTACAATGACCTGTTAACGGATTTAAGCCTTCGCTGGCCTACTGGAAACAGGATTTACACTCCAGTTAAGAACAAAAGAACATAAAGGGGGAACACTGCAGCAGCACTACAGGACTATATTTGGCAGGTCCTTGACAAACCGAAACCAACTAAAAAATATTCGCCCGAAGAATCACTGCACAGCGAATTCCTAAAATCAAGAATTACGTTCGTGGTGTTTAGTTCTTCAAGAGCCAACGTAGTGCCACTTGGCACTGGTCATAATAGAACACGACCTATTAATTAGTTTATGACTTCACTAGTTTACAAGAACTTCTTCCTCTTTGAGAAATAAAAGATAACTTCGTAATATCGTATCCTAAGATAATGATGCCTTTGCGGGTATACAAAATGCACATACAAAGGAAAACACAGAAAGCATTATTGTTGCGTACCTTTCAGGAATACATGTATTATGTAACATGGTATTTCATATTACACAATATATATTTAAAACCTGCGTATATAAAATCTGATGTTCAGTCTTTGTGCTGAGTTTATCTAACTGTTGATAAATATTTAAGACTTTCATGAGAGAGATAAACGAACTTTTCTCAGTGAATAATGTGAATAACATTAGTAACTTATTGAAACAGAAGATCGAGGAAGAGAAGAAGAAAAATAAGGAAATTTATTACAAAATTAAGTTCAAGGAAACTCTTATCCAAGGAACTGGAGCTACTCTTCCTTCCTTGAGTATGTTCACCTTCAATTCCCCACATGTTTTATGGCCCTTTATGCTTAGCGCTTCACTATGAATATAAAATTAATGCGGGTTTGTCTCCATTTTCAACACTACCAGGAAGTTCCTGTTAAAAAAAAAATGTTTGGGACCAAAAAAATCGTAAGAGGAGATGATCTTTAAAGAAATTACGTTAATATATATATATATATATATATATATATATATATACACACACAACAGCATATCTTGTGTCAACACTAACAAAGCAACTTCAGGTTGACTTAAGAAATCGTAATGACACGATTGCAAACAAACCATACCCCGGCCGGGATTGAACCCGCGGTCATAGAGTCTCAAAACTCCAGCCCGTCGCGTTAGCCACTAGACCAGCTAGCCACAATAAGATTCATCCAACTAGGTATATTTCTACACCATAGGTGGTGCCTGTGCTAACCTTCCTATGGTGTAGAAATATACCTAGTTGGATGAATCTTATTGTGGCTAGCTGGTCTAGTGGCTAACGCGACGGGCTGGAGTTTTGAGACTATGACCGCGGGTTCAATCCCGGCCGGGGGTATGGTAACTTCAGGTTGTCTTACAATGATGAGTAATAAGTACCCTAATGGGCAGATTAAAATAAACAAATATTTAAACTGTCATTTCTATCTACTTTACGCAATATGTAAATATGGCTGTTTTTAAATTATCAAAGCCTCTCGGTGAAGCGAAAAGTATTATATTATATTTTTTATGAGAAGCCCTAAAACTGGAGTATGGATCGTATAGAATATTTAGGATTAATCCGAGGAATGGGAAATTCCTATATATTGTATCAAGAGCCGCTCATATGAATGTTCTTGAAGGCCTAAGGAACGGGAGGCGAAGTCCAATTCCATGGATCAAGAGTTCTTTCTAGCAACACGGCACGCGCCTTAAAAAAAACAAATGAATGTGGTATACAGTGAGGTGATGATTCGCACCAGCTGTTCTATACTCAGTGGTTATAAAGCAGTTTAGGCACTGGTTGCCCTTTCCAAACAATGACCCACTCCTCGCACCCTCATCACTGGCCTCGCATGGGTACGTCATGGCAAAGGGCATCGATACCCCTCATAGCTCGCTTGGATAAGTCAGTATAGTCTTCCATGACTCGTGCTCAGGAATTCACGAGTGGTTCTTGTTTGAAATGTATTTGGAGTCTCCCCATCAGACGATAACTCCATTACTTGCTCCTGTTCATGAAATGACAGGTGTGAGACAGGGAGAGAAATTTCAAATGGACCGCCTGTCCAGCTCTGAGACTTGTCCCTTGAGAGTCAAGTATCTGAGCATCTGTTAGCTTGGTTACTAGAGGTATTCAATTGTTAGGCCTTTCACATGCTCTTCCAAGAACTTTTCAGTTGTTTCGACAAGTTCTTGAGGCGCTAGAAAACACTAAAGGAATTCACATGTACGTAGATTGACCAGATTGTCAGCATTTTGTAATTGGTGCTTCGGTCTTGTCTTGTGTGTTAAACACTGTGGCACCGACACTATGGAAACGCAAATTCAGTTCATTCAAGCCGAAGAAATGTCTGCTAGATATGCCAGCTTATGTAACCAGTCCTCTTCATGCAGGCAAGAAGAAAAGTATAACATGTCCATAAACAATTTCAGAATTTCTCATCTCATTACAAAAATCCTTGTCAGAACTTTGCCGCGCTGCAACCAGCGTAGTTCAGTGTGCAGATGGCTCACGTTCACTGCCTGTGTCTTTGCAGCGCTGTAAAAATCCTTGAACATAGCGGACGAACTTCGATGAAATTTTACCATTTTCACCGGATCATTTAGAACTGACCTAAGATCAAGAACCATTTTTTTTTCAGATGCAATTGCCTCTCTGTGAGCGCTGCAGAGTACAGAGGAAGTTGATTGAGGGACTTTCCTGACGAGCTGCAAGTTCTTTGTACTTCACCGTCACTAACATCACCATTACGGAAGTTTTCTTACTCACCCCAGGGTAGATTATACCACTCCTTGGAAAACACTGGTCTAGCTATTCTATAAAGTGTTACAATATCACACGGGTCTACACTATCATCAAAGGGCTGGATCAAAAGTTCATCACTCTTACACCGTACACACACTCATGTTACTCTCATAATATTGTGAACATCTACTAATTGATTGGACCCCCCTCACATACTCTTACACACACACACACACACACACATACACACAGTAGCGGCCAGTGAAGAGGTGGGGCCAGGAGCTATGAATCGACCCCTGAAACCACAACTAGGTGAGTACAACTAGGTGAGTATACGAGGCAATTTTATTTCTAGTTTTAACTTTAAAATATAAACTTTTAAACTTTTAAATAAAAATTCTTAATTTTTCAACACTTTTGCAATATATATATATATATATATATATATATATATATATATATATATATATATATATATATATATATATACTTTCTTGCGAGGTTTGTTTGGCTTTTAACATGGCCTCCTGCGCCTCCTCCATTACTTTGGCATTACTCTGGTTTCCTGCATTTTATGGTTTCGTCGGATCACACGTAACCTTTGAGCTCAGCCTTAACTTTCTCTTTGTAATTCTTGAGCGTCTTATTGTGAAACCGTTTTCATTTTGGCTTTAGTGTATGGTTTTTTTTGTATGATTCTCTTGTATGGTTTTCTTATATGGTTGTTTCACTTCCTGACAACTCTAAAGCTGAAGAAATACTTCCCAATATCCCTATGACTTATCCAAGTTTGCAGTTTCAAGTTGTGCCCCGTGTTGCTGTGTCCCATCTATGTATCATTCTGTCCCTGTCCACCTTGTTAATTCTTCTCAGTATTTTATAAGTCGTTATAATGTCCTCTCTATCTTTCCTGTTTCTGTTTTCCAGTATCGTCAG